AGGAAGGAAGGAAGGAAGGAAGGAAGGAAGGAAGGAAGGAAGGAAGGAAGGAAGGAAGGAAGGAAGGAAGGAAGGAAGGAAGGAAGGAATCAGGACCTGAAGCAAGAAGTACAAACATTAAAGCAAGGTTCTTTTTAGAAAAAGGCAGCCTAGTCCTGGAAATACCTGAGTGAAGAGGCACGGCTGCAGAATCCAGCCACATCTCCCTTGCAAAAGAATTCTATGGTTGCTCCGTACGCAAGGCCCTGCACTCGATACTCAACACCCAGGCCCTGCCTTCCAAGCTCACTGATGGCTGGATTCTTTCTCCTCCCAGAGAGGGACTGAACTGCAGTGTTATCTGGGTCACGAGCTAAATCAAAAGATTTATGTGCCCCTTTAGCATAAACTTGAAGCTCATTGTTCAAAGGACCAGTGGTGACACCCCAATGCAATCACCACCGTTGCCTTGAGCCATCAGCTAGGGATGCAGAGAAAGGAAGCTCCCTGTAGCTTTTTCATGATTGTCAGAGGTGCGGAAGGCCCACCTTCTGATCTGCCTCTCCCACCTTTCCAGAGAGGAGAAAGACAGTCATAAAGTTGGTTCCCAAGTCGGTTGGAGCTGCAGATTGAGTTTGTCTCTTTGTCCTTCATTTTGCCTTGAAACTACCTAGCAGGGTTGGTAGCCAGACTGTTATGCTGAGATTATGTCCGCCAGAGGCTGATGCCTGCCTTTCCACCACCTTAGAGTCCATACGATGGAAGAAAGAGAGGAGCAGAAAGACAGGTTGGAATTTGTACAAAACCAGCTCAACCTATTAACAGACGAGATTAAGAAAAAAATCAAAGAAGTTACAGAAGAAGTTGCCAACAAGGTAAGTAGCCAAGAGCTCTGTTCTTGATCCCTGTCTCCATTCATAACACTCAGTTTTCCACATACCCTTCCAGAGCAGTGGCCACGGATGTGTGAATGCATAACTAATAACATTTTTTGGGACCTGACTAAGCTTTTAGCAACATCAGTACCTGCTCAAACACTACAAAACAAAGAATGTGGGCAAAGAAGTGGAAGTCTCTGAGTGATTTGAGGTAGGCTACTATCTTGCAGCCAAACCTTTCCTCCCTCCCTTTTATTTGGGAAGTGATTACTGGCCTACCCTGCAGGGCTCCAAAGAGGATAGCAGATTGTAGTGGAAAGATGTCAGCCCTTTGAGATAGGCAGGGCCAAGAAACAGGAGCCACTGGGATTTCAGGAATGCTTTTTATTGTTGTAAGGCAGTGTTTCTTAACCTTGGCAACACTAAGACGTGTGGACTTCAACTCCCAGAATTCCCCAGAATAGCTGGCTGGGG